AGTGGACACAGTGAATTTGTGAGTCAGCATACCACATAGACTCCTTTGCAAAATAAAGAAGCTCAAGTTTCCCTGTTCTATTTCTAAAATATCTCACTGTTGCTTTTTACTTTCTGCTTCAGCAACTCAATCACGTCCAAATCTTGCACACTAAATTCCTCTCCTTTAGTAGATGTCTTCTTTATTGCTTACTAATGGGTGATAAGATGTAAGCCTGAATTTTATTCTAGTATCTAGCACCTCTGTAAGACTAGCAGAAATACTGCTGTTGGTAGAAAAATCAGAATAGCAGATAACTTTCAGTAGAAGATAAGTACAAACAAAATATTAACATCACTATCAGAGATCAACTCAGCACTATGGAATTGCTAGTTTTTTAATTGCTATTTGCCTGTTTTGGTTAAATTGTTTAATGTGGTTTGGTCTGATTTCCTAGTTCAGTTTGCCTCTCTTTATGAGCCATTTTTTAGCAATAACAATAGGCATGGGTATGTAAGAAGAGATTGGAAGAAACAAATATGAAAGCAAATAATTATTTATTCATTGGATAACAAATAGCAGAGTTGATCTAGACAAATTATCATTGTAGCCACTGGATAAATAACTTTAATCAATGTAAATTGATTAAAGATATCATAAGAGACTTTGGAATAGGACTTTATAAGTCCAGAAGCAACATATTTTATGTGTACATTCATGCCTAACTTTTAATATGGAACCACTTTCCCTCTTGTTAGGGAACAGAATGCTGTCAGCAAAATTAAGCCTCAGAACAAAACTTCTTAAAAAAGACCAAGAAAGTCAAAATAAAATCATTTTAAGGATATAAATAAAATAGATCCACTCATTTCCTGACAGCCTGAATGAGAAGGTCCATATTTATCTCAGTAAGATTTCAGTGTTAGACTTTAGGAGCCAAAATGACAGTTTTGGACTCAACCAGACAGTGATCCTTATATATAAAGACTCAAAATAGATTTCTTTTGCCCCTAGTCCTGCCAAAGAGCCATTTTAGATGTGCAGGAAGGTGCAGAGCATACTAATGCAGTGTCCTTACAGTGAGTGGGAGTAATGGATGGCTTTGCGTTGTCTGCCTTTTCTTGATTGGAATTTAGATCCCTAAAGAATATGAAAGGCAATATGATATTTCTTGTGATTTCACAGCAGACACACATTTTCTATTTTTCTTTTTTATGCATAGAATCATTGAAGATTGCAATGAAAATGCAAAAAGCCTGCATTTGTATAATGGAGATAGATCATGGAGATGTGGGCAATCATCAATGCATATGATCATTCTGGGATTAGAGGAATTCCTCACTCTTGTAGAAACTGTCAAAAGATGAGGAATATAAAAATAGATTTAAGTAAGATAAGAAATTTTATCTTCAATTTGGACAAAAATCAAGACCAGTTTTTTCAATAAGGATCTAAAGAGATTTGTAGCTGTGCTTTTTGCAATTTCTTTTTCTTCTTTCTTGCCCCCCTTTTACTCATTGCTTTCAATTAAAATGACTATTAAAAGTCACCTATGTGTTTTAGATACTATAGTAGGTTCTAGACAGAGTAAAATGGGAGAAGGCATACATGCTCTTCTTTTTTAGAATGCACATATTAAACTCATATCTAAAGAGCATATACACTAAGCAAGATTAAACTACCCAGGCATAGAAGGAAGTAAAGAACATTTATATTTCATATTTAGGCAAATGGAATATGGTATTTAAAAATCTTATATTACCGAGAGACAACTGTGTAACTGGACTAATAGAGTATAAGGCTAAGGTGCCTTACAAAAGCCAAGTGGGTTAGTGGAAGGAAAAAGGGGATAGGAGGTGATATTTGTGAGTGGTTTGTTTAAAGACATTTTGAATGCAAGTGAGGCCAGATCCTTAAAGTTGTAAGTAGATATTAAAATCTTGGGAAAATAAATGGCATTAATAAATTTTATAAGTGAAAAATAAACTTAGAATAAAGCATTTATGCTAATTTCAACTACAACCAGGCAACTTCAGCAGGCAGGAGGTAGCAACAGTTGAGCTACAAAATGGTTGTGGTCTTGACTATAAGCATAAGTGAGGGATGATTTAGTAAGGAAAGTTGGGAACATATGACAAAAGACTGGAGTAGAAGACAGAGGTACATTTAAATTTCAGCTAGATTTCTGGTTTGGGAGGTCAGAGTTAACTTAATTGTTTCTCCTTGTTTCAGGAATCTGAGTTCAGGGAAAATTGTTAGAAATAGAGACTGTCATAGCTTTTACTGAGTTGATCTGATATGAGTACAATGCATAAGTTAATGAGTTAACTCAGGATTAAAATAAGGGATAAAAATTTATGATAGGAGAGATATCATGACTTCTTTTTCTACCTGGCCTCAACCTAAGATGAAGTGACAGATTGATAAGCTTGAGTTTGTTTGCTAATTTTTTAAAACCTGAGTCTTGTCTTTTATTTCTTTTTTCTTTTTTTAAAACTTGATTTGAATCATAAAAATGAGTATGATCTTCCCTTTTCTTTGTAGCTCATGATCTGGCTTATTAAGGGATCACATTTTCCCACTGTGAAACTATTGGAGACTGAGGTATCTAATTTGACCAAGAAATGCTTTCTTAAGTAAAACAATGTGAATAGGAAGTCTTGGCCTGAAAATGTGATATGTGTTTGTTTATCTACATAGCATATAAAACTGTAATTGTTAATTGTGTGTAAGTTCCTGTTTGAGTGTCTTATCTTTCCTTGCAAATATTTGTACTTTATTTGTATCTCCCATAGAACATGGAGCACATAGTATACTAGAGACTACATAGAGTGTGTCAGAAATTTAAAATTATTGCTTGATCTTTTAAAAGTGTTAAAATGAATGATTTATTTAAAACAACAGCATCACAAAGTTCACAAACCTCAAATTAACCTTATATTTTACATTTTTCTATTTCAATTTCAAATTAATGTCTGTTATAATAATTTAAACACTCTAAAATGATTAAATGTCTTCTGAATCATCAATAGAAAAGAAAATATTTCTATGATATACATTGTTAGATATATCTTATTATATTTTCATTCTGTGAAAATTAGTAATCTAAGTATGGCATAGATACTACCAATGACTAGCTAATCTTTGCCCTGAACTACATCCCTAGCCCTTTTCTTTTTTTAAATTTTATTTTGAAAGTAGTAAAAGTACAACAGAACAAGACAGAACAAAGCCAATCAAGACAATACAGTGAAATTGGTACAGAACTTCACAGTAGGATACTGGGCTGGTAGTAATAGATACTATCCTATATCTCATTATCTTTACAATAATTGTCCAGTCAATTAGGGATAGCAAAATCAAACCAAAACCAGAACATTATAAAACCAATTGAGAGTATTGAATAGAGCAAAAGAAACATAACAAAACAAAACAGTGAAAGCAATCTCTTCCTTCAAACAGAAGATAGAAGGAAATCTTGCATATTTGCTATATTGCATATGGTCATCCTCCCAAGAGATGCTGAGACATCTATCTTCAGTTACTACATGATGGGGTGTTTGATTCTTACCCCTAGCATTGGTAGGGTCATGGGAGCCATCAGTTCTCCTCCTGGCCCAGGCTGGGGCACTTACCAAGAGGGCAGGCAAATAAGCTGCCTAAGTTCTGCCATGGCTGGAACTCAGGAGTGCTGGTTCTCCTCCTGGCTCAAGCTGGGGGCCTTACCAAGAGGGCGGGCAAATAAGCTGCCTAACTTCCACCATGAGAGGATCTCTGGAGCTTTGGTTCTCCTCCTAGCCCATGCCAGGGGGTGCTTATCAAGAGGGCAGGCAAATAAACTGCCTAAGTTGCTCCCTGGCCGGATCTTGGGCCTAGCCTTTCTCTTATTTTTCATTTTGAGACGGGTTTCACTAAATTTTTAAATTTCCTAGGCTGCGCTCAAATTTTCCATCCTCATGCCTTAGGCTCCTAGAGTGCTTGGGATTACCTGTGTGTGCCATCATGTCTAACTTGACTGATTCATCTTAACTCAGCTTTGGGCAAAGCTATTTTTATGTATTTTTTCAATTCTTAAATGGGAGAAAATGACTGTTGGCCCACAGACACCTTGCTGAAGATTTTATTTGAAAATATCTTTCTGATAGAAAGATACAGACAAGTAATTTCATAATACAATAACTTTGAAGTTGAGCAACAAAGGAATTTACCTTCCAATGAAATTAGAAGGATTGGCAGATTGGTAGAGCATGAATTTTGAAAGTTGACCTGGTTTGGACATCAAGGTTATCACTGCCCATTAAACAATTCTTTTTCTTTCCTTTTTGTCCATTTTCCCTTTACAAGCAAAATGTGGGGAAAGTGGCCCTACCCTTCCTTTAAGCAAGTGGCATACTGCCAGTTACCTATGGTTTGAGAAGAGAAATCTCATTTGTTTCTTCACCTGAATAACATCTTAGCATGCCTGTCTCTCTGATTGATATTCATGAATCCTGATTTTCAGATAATTGCCTTGGAAAATTGTGTAGCCAGACAACTTTTAACTGATCTAAAGAGAAGTAAAACATAATGGTTATACAATGTTGAATTTGTCCAACATGGAGTTTTTATTCAAAAGAGGAGAGTTTAGGACCCTTTTTCTAAGTTAGGTTTTTCCTTTTCTGAGTCTGAACACTTAGTATATTTTAATATTAGCCTTCTGTGATTCACTCCAGCAGCTTAATAGACACTGAAACAAATTCACAATATTTCTTTCTGATAATTAAGCACTGGTGCTGGGGACAAAAAGATTTATTTTTTGCATCCCTTTGAGACCACTTTGTCATCATCTTGCATTTCTACTTTCTTAATAAAATATGAGATTTGAGAATCATTATGCCTTATCATTTTCTACTTTCAAACTTGATGATAAAGTGCAATGCTCCATTTTCCATCCATGTTAGACAGATCTGCTGCATTTCAGTTACCAGGAATAGTCTTAGCAAGCACTTACCCAGCATGTTCAGCAGCAATCAGGCCATTGGTGATGATGTAGAAGTTTATTAGAACATGAAGAGAGAAATTACCTACAAGTAAATGCTGGAGAACTGGCTATTAGCTAAATGCCTCATAGGCAGAAATTCATTGAATAGCATGCATCTATTATATGTTGGCTGACAGAAGGTTAAGTATTTGAACTCCATCTTCCTATTAGACCCTCCCCAGCATGCGGGCCACCCACCAATTGCAAGGCATGATGACACGACAAATGACCCGTCCTCCTTGGTAGCAGTATGGATAAGGGTAATAACCTAGTAAAGGTTCACAGACTCGACGGCAGTAGCGGTTGCCTCGGCGGCAATATATACAGCAATAACCTCTTTCATCCAGCATCGGATCAAATTCTATTCCATTTTCAGTCTGAAAGATAAAGAAGACAATGCTTGAAGGGAAAGTTCACTAAAAATAGTCTCCATCAAGCAGAAAAGAATTACATGACTATGAATTAAGGGCTGGTGAGAAATTAAGTTTCTCAGGCTATGGGGATGCATCAATAAAAGACTGATTGGCTTTACATAATCCTTCTGGAGATTTCAAGTTCCTCCCACATTTGTCAAAACTATGATCATTCTTTCAGTGACTGTGATCGGAGGGATAGTAAATTTTATGAAGTAATTTTCACTCTCGTTCAAAGAGTAAGATGAACATAACTCACATAGTCATTTATTGGAAGTTCTTCCTCATTTGCTTGTCTGGTGTGGCGGCTTTTCTCCAGCTTTACTTGAGGGACCACCCATTGCTCATTTTGTTCAATGCCCTTTTTTCCATTGATAGGAAAGTGAAGGTCTTCACCATCCTCCTCAAAGTCTTGTAACTCGGAAACTAAGACAAAAAATACAAAGTTGTGATGCGACTTCACTGCAACTGTTTCTGAAAGAAGTGTTTGGGAGAAATAGCAGTTGGGGATAGAGATTTTCATCGTGTCTTCTGAATGCCATCAGTAAGGTACATGTGGACCACTTTTCCAAGTTTTTCAACTGATATCTTGAGTATTTTCCAAAGGAAGTTTCACCATTCCTATACACATTTCTTTGCTTGTTTGACATTAAATATTCAGTGCTTTGCCTTATTAGTGCACTGCATTAAAAAATGAGAAAAGGGGACTTTTATGTATTTCACAATGATTTAACCATAAATACTTATGTCTTGGTTGCCTAATTTGTTATGTCATTCTCCTTCTGTTTCTTCCCTTTTCTTTTCTAAAGGTTTTAACTAAAAACTCTCTACATAGAAATGTTAGATGTATAGAAGAGTTGCAATGATAGTATAGAATTCCCATATACCCTTTGCCCAGTTTCTCCCACTATTGTTTTGCATAATCATGGTAAAATGATCTAAAAAGATAGCATTAAACTGTCAAAAAAGTTATTATTGGTATAATACTCTTAACTAAACTACAGATTTTATTTGGATTTCATCTATATTTCTACTAATGTCCTTTTTTCTTTTCCAACATCCAGTCTAGGCTACCACATTGCATTTAGTAACTTTTTTTCTTAAATTTTCATGGAATATCAGTAGTTTCAAGCATTGGTGGGAGCATCCTCTATAGAGTAACATAGTAATGTGTTTTGTAAACAATGAGACAAAAGTCTGTATTAACTAGACAGAATAAAATGTCTAAGGACTTCCCTGGGCTGAGTAGGAGTTGAGGGTTAGATTTTTCTACTCTGCACCCCTAACCCTCAGTTGTTTTTTATAATGATTCTTAAAACCACAGCAGAGAAATTTGTACTGCAGTGATTGCCCTTTCTTTTGCAGAGAATGCTACCATTTGACTTAGAGAACCCTTGAGACAACACAGCATTATTTTGGCCTTTTTCTCCTCAGTTAGGTTAGGCGTACAGTGGCTTGAATAATTGTTAGGTCCTGCAGTGAATACAAACATTCAAAGAAAAACAGGTTAGCCTTTTGCTATTATTACATGCATTAGGGTGATGTTACCTTTGTTGAGCTATTTAAAAGCCTGTCAGCATTCATTTATCTGATTTATAACCTGTGAAAAATTCCCGCCTCACTGGCAGTCAGCACATACAATTTCAACCAAAAAGATATAAGCTGATCATTTGTTTTCCTAGAAATACAATGTTTCAATGCTGGAAATATTAAAACTGTTACTGTGTTTGAGAGGAAGACAGGAAAGAGGGTAGGACATCATACCTGCTATTAGAGTGGGATTGATCCAGTACATGGTCACATTATCACAAACGGACAAAATTTTTGAATTTTTAAGAAAGTCTCGGTTTTCAATAGGTTTTTCTGCTGGAACCCAAATTACTGACTGTTCAAAGAAAGTTGTGGTAATTTCTTCATTCTGAAAGATGAAAGTGGTTTAGGGTGGGGATTGGCAGAGAAATTTTTTAAAAAGGAATGAGACTTTTGAGTCTAACAATTTCGGTCTAAGACTGCTGGTAAACTACTGTTGTACCCATGCTTTCAGTAGATACTCTTGGGGAACAACTGACCTTTCCCTCCTAGATTTTTTTTTTTTTAATCGGTACTAGGGATCAAACTCATTACCACCTGCTTACAAAGCAGGTCTTATGCCACTGAGCTAAATCCCCAGCCCCTCCCTCCTAGATCTAATAGCAAGACTGCTCACTACAATGGGAGCTTTCTTTGTTATCTTTTTACTTAAAGTCAGAAAGACTTTCTTTCATTCTCTGGGCCCCAACCTAGGCTATATATGTTTTAATTTGAACTTCTGGAACTCCAAGGGATTTACATTTTCTATCTTTTAAATTTTAATTCTGCTTAAGCTTCAGCTAGTTTGCCACCATGGTTTGCTCTCAAACAAAATAAAATCTGATAATCCAATAATCCAAACTTGTGAGATCTATTAAACAGCAACAGAACGTAATATTTTGCTTTTATGAGATTTTGTGTTAATGGCAACTCATGTAGTAAAGAACTTTGCTAGTACAAAAAATGTCATTAAAATACCTTCTTATATTTTAAAATTTAGTCTCCTGCTCATAACTTTACTGGTTTCATCACTAATTTGTTCTTTTCCTTCTAGATATGTAGGGTTTATCTCAAAGTGTTTTTGCTTCATGGAGTCTTTCTAATGTTACTAAGAATGATATCTTCTTTTTAGTTCCTAGTGTTGTGTCATATAACAAGTTCTTTTATCATTGAGGCTTCAGTATTCTCCACTTTTAATAAGGCTTTTTTTCTCTTTTGTTTCTAGCTTTATTATTTTAGTATTTTAATTTATTTTCTGAAATATGCTTTTTTATAATTTTTTCTTAAGTCATTCACAGCTCTCAAGTCCTGGCTCTTTTGCCCTTGAGTCTGTAAAGACCTTAGGATGCATTGAAAGCTATTGTGCAAAATGATAGTGATATGCTAACTAGCTTTTTAAGCAAAAGACACAGAGATAAGGCAAAGATAAAATAAGAGGGTATATTTTGGCCATTCAGGATTATAAATTTGATCGATAAAAATATATGTAGTTTGAATACAAAAATAGGATTTTCTTGCAGGTTTAATTTTACTATCATGAGATCAATACTTGTACCTTTTAAAAGATTTAGCAAAATTAACTGAAAAATAAATTAAGGCCCATCTGAGATAGCATGGGTTTTTCATTTATCTCTTTTAGAAAAACAGGCCTTGTTATATCACTTAAGCTTTCATCGATAGTTGGCCATACTCAAATTCTTATTATATTTTCTGTAAAAATCATTATATTACAAAAAATAGCTTTTTAATCGTACTGCGTGTGTGTGTGTGTGTGTGTGTGTGTGTGTGTGTGTGTGTGTGTGTATGTGTGTGTGTGTTTGAGAGAGTCACTATGTACTTTGGACTGTCCTTGAACTCACTATGTAGTCTAGGCTGGCTTTGAATTTGCAGCAATCCTTCTCCCTCTCTCATGATGAGATTACAGGTGACACCACACAGAACTGATTCTCTTTTTGTACTATCACTGCTTTCTATGGTCATTACTAATACCCTAGAAATTGATCTGTCTCTCAGAAGCATCAAGTTTAAGCTTATTAAATAAGAAACAAAACAAATCAATAACAACAACAAAACACTACAAAGTCTGTTACTATTATAGACTTTGGGAGCAGAAAATCATCTTTGGGGATATTTCCTTCGAAATTCTGGCAACAGGGTTCTGTAATTTCTCTGGCTGTGAGGAGACCAGTAGCATGAAAGAGTAGTATGAGAACCAATGACAGAGCTGTGAAATTGATGTAATGAGAAGGAAAAAAGGCTCCCTACTCCCACCTCCCAAATAAAGAAAAGAAAAAAAAAGGATCAACAAACCATTGACAATTAAGATGAAGAGAGTTTAGTTGGAGAAATGTGAAAAAAACAGTAAAAAGAAAAAAAATTTTCTTTTATTGTTTTAAAGTTTTTATAGAACATACAGGCCACTATGCTATTGTCATAATACCTTTTTAAATTTTCTGGTTAAACACTAAACCAAACCAAGCCAATCTAAACTAAACAAATGCTTATTTGTTTCTTCTTACAGTGGGGATATGCTGACACAATATGGTCTTAGCAAAAGTTTCCCTCCTTCCCATATTGTAATTATAGACAGAATACCAGGGAAAAATAAAGAATCTATAGAGCTCTAATGATGATTTTATTCTAGGTAGTACTGATCCATCTCCCACTAGGCTTTCAGGAATATTTAATGATTGTATCATATTATGGCTTGTATCTAGATATACCTCCAAAGCCTCATGTGTTCATAGATACAGCTTTTTGGAGGTGGCTGAATCTAGGGTATATGATGCTAGGATTAAAGGTGTGATACCAGGCAGGGCGTAGTGGTGCATGCCTGTTATCCCAGCCTTTGGGAGGCTGAGACAGGAGGATTGCTATAAGTTTGAGGCCAATCTGGGCTACAAAATGAATTCAAGCCTACCCTGAACTGCAGTGAATCCCTGCCTCAAAAAAAAAAAAAAAGTTGCGATGCTAGGATTACTTTATAGTGCAATGCTAGAATTAAACTGACCTACGCTGAGTGTGAGTGCTATCTACTCTAAGGGCAAGTAGCCAGGGTAGGATATAAGAGACAGAAAGAGGGTCATTGCTTATCACTTGTTTCTTTCTATTTCTTTACTGCTTTGCTGTTTTCTGCCCACCATGAACTGTTTTTCCTCTGTGATGCCCCTCTGTGATATCGCTCTGCCTTAAAGTCAGCCACCTATAGACTGAAACCTCAAAAAATCTTGAGCCAAAATACACCTTTCCTCCTTTAACTTTAGATCTTGAGTATTTTGTCTCAGCATTGAGAGAAAAGTATGTCACACATATTCTAGGATTCCTCACACCCTAGCCTAGTAGTATTTTCAGAGATTTATATTACACTGAAGTTCTCACATTCTTTGTTTTTATCTTTCCTCACGAGTAGTAATATGATTTATTCTCTTAATATCCCAGCCTAAAATGGTAGCTAAATAAACAGAAATCTTTAAAACAGGTGACAGTTGGAGTGTGAGAAAAGTGGCTAGAATGACGAGGGGCCTTCGGACTTATTTTTTTTATTCCCCACTTTGGGACTTATTATTTTAAAACTTTATCTTAGGCAAGATTGATTTGTCTCTCTGGCTCATCCTTCTTGGCTGAAATATTTAGTTTGAGAGCAAATATACCTAATCCTTATGTATAAAATATAGTGTACACAAAAGCATGAACTTAAGTTCTTAGCGTTCAAAACTTCAATCTACTACTCATTAGCTGTGGGTTTTTGGGCAAGTCATTTTTGGTTTTGAGTCTTAGTTTCATGCATGAAAAGGAAGTTTATAGTAGCACCTATCAGTAGGATTACTTGAGAACCAAATGAAATCATAGAATTTAGCACAATGTTTGACAAATTGTTAGCATCCAGTAGATGCTGCTGTTTACTACCACCGGTCCTCTTACATACCTCATCTATTTCCACTTCTGATTCAGAAAATTCAGGAATCACTTTAATCTGAGTTTTGATGAAACATTTTTGAAGACCTACAAAGTAGATGCCAGTGTATCCCTATAACACAGACAAAACAATAATAAAATTTCCTGAAATAGTCACAATAAATGAGTTTCATTATTTTTCAGGGCCATAGAAAAACTAAGTTTGAATTCATATGGAAAGCTTCGTCTTATAAATTAAGCAAGACTGAAGACTATTTTTAATGTCTCAATTGATCTAAATTTTATTTAATAAAACTTAATGGGAAAACATTCAACTTACATTTTTAAAGTCATGCACTTCCAGTGTTTCTTCAGTGCCATTTCCACTTCTGAATATTTCAGTTCTGGTCATGGGATCAATTTCCATGTAAATTTTCTTCTTTTCTCCATTGCTATAGAAAGTGTGCTCCATGTCATAGGTCTGGGAGAGCAGAAGAAAACAGGCTCTAACATACTCATTGTGCCCCTTCATAAAATACTTTAACTGGGTATTACCTGGGGCACCTTCTCTTTCTGGAGCCTTTGTAGTGAGATGTTATCTCAGCTTGCTACTAAAAATATGCTGAAAATTGAGAATCAAGTGATATGCTTGGGATGATATGGCTCTTTCAGAGCCAATATTTTGTGGCAAAGCCAAGATTCTGAGCTAATTACTAAGAATTCCAACAGTTTTCTTGGCAGCCATGATTAAATAGAAAATGATATTCTGTAAACCAACTTGAAAATATTTTTCCCTTGTGGTAAGCCAAGGGATCACTACAACTTGTGCTGTTTTAAAACCTATACCTTCCTTTTCCAAGTACTTGACAATTACCCCCTCATTTCTCTTCTCTCCTCTCCATGAAATTTATTGGAATTAAGAAAGAGGTTTGAACATGTTTAGAGTAGTTAGGTGTTACTCTCTATCTTTCTATGTACACAGGGCTTTAATATTGCCTTGAGTCTGTCCATTTTAAAATACAAAGAGTTATCCTTGATCAATATTAGATAACAGTCTTACCCTATCTTCATTTGAGTCTTTTTCCTTTTTAAACTCCAGAAAATATTTATTGCCTTCTTTTAGCCTTCTATTTTATAGGCTAACCAACCATACTCAGTTTACTTCAGGCTGCTGTCTTAAACCTTATTGCATTATCTTCGAGGTCTCTAGAGTCTCTGATATGTATATATATCTTGGCAACTTTGTGAAGTGCTATGCATTAAGAAACAAGGGACTTGTCACTGGGACTTCCTTGGAAAGGTTGCTTATTAGGTCCTTCCCGTGTGGCTGAAGCGAAACCTCAGACTTTTTTTTGCCCTCTAAACCATAATTCTCTTCGTAAAAACCAAGGTGAGCACTAACGTAAAATTCAGGTGTAAACATATAACCTATACTTTAGGATGTATTTATAACTAGAAGTAAACAATAAGTCTAAAGGATTTTGCTACCTGTCACAATGTAGGCTAGACTTTCCGGTGCTATTTGGATGTCTTTCTTCTGTTTGTTGTTAAGAGGTCTTTATCTACTAAGTTACTACATATCCACTTGTCCCTGTGAAAAAAGTTTGATCAACCAAAAGCCTGAAAAAGCAAGCTCTTTACAAAGCCAGGGTTGCTTTCTAATGATGCATTTTTCAGTGACAGCTTTGTAAAGCTTGCACTGGGTTGGGTTGTTTTGTAGTGTCTGTTTATTTCTGCGACAACATATTAGTTTAACCTGGTCAAATTTTCCCCAACTGAAGTAGAAAGCCAAGTTGGAAAGCTCTGTAGAAAAGACTGTTATTTGAAGAGTGAAAAGTGTAATGTAGCTGCTGACTGGAAAAACAGAGGCAATGCCATTTATCTCTTTGTATCCCTGAAGAGCCTTGGACATGGTTGACAATTAAGTATTTGTTGAGTAAGTTTTCTCCACCAATGGTATGTATATATTTTTCCTAAAGACAAATTCTAAATATTGGCAAAGTCTTTTGAGAGATCATTTTAAAATGGAAGAAGAGAGATAAATGTGAAGAGGATCAAGAGACAAAGGGAGAGGAAAATTATGAGAGAAAAATGAATGAAAAAGGAATTAAGATGTGTCATATACATGTAGCAACTTCATACAAAGAATGTAAACATTATGTACTGCAAACATGTACTAATAAAAAATAAATTTAAAAAAAGGAAAGAAAGTAGTATGAAGCAACTTCCTCGAACCAGAGTTAATTCTGAAATTCTGACATGGTTTGTGACAGGTAGTAAATTCATTTAGGCATGTTATTTGCTTCTTCCTATAAATATATTCTCAGTTATAACTCTGCAGTCAGCTGGAAATGAGAAACTTCTCCCTATAGCAACAAACTGAACTCTTAGTCTGACCTAAGCAGAATCAGAGGTATCCCTGTCACATGGAGTGTTGTCAGGTCTCCCAACAAGGGGTAGTTTCCTTAGAAATACTGCCCATTGTTGAGAAAAATGTTCAGACTTCTAGCCACTGAGTTTTGGGAGAGAGTTTATTTTACAGGTAGCAACATTCATTGATTGTTGCTTAGAAAAACTAGGTCAGAGTCTAGGGGATATTGGACTGTTGCCTACCTGGGCCAAGAAAAAGTGCAGGCTGTGTATTCAATTATTGGTTGAAGAGTATGGAATCATAGTGGTGAAATTTAAACTGTTCAGTGTATTTTTGTGGAATGAGTTTTCCTGCACTCCTGGCATGGTACTTTACTTGGATGCCATGCTAAATGAAAACTATTGGAAATGCCAAACTCAGCAGATCTTGATTATTTTCAACATTCCTGCAAATTTTTATTTTCTCTTCTTTTTTTTGTGAGAGAGAAAGTTTTCATTTGGATTGTTTCCATTAACTAACTTGTTGGTTTTTTGTTAGAAATGATATGTTGCTAAATAGAGTGAGATCAGAATAACTTCTTATATGTGCAAACCCTTCAGGGACAAAAATGGAAAGCTATATATTTACCCAAATGAAATTTCAGTATGAAAGATAACTTTTAGAAGATATTGTTTTTTATCTAGGAAGACGATACCAGTCAGTCTCTTTGGACTGCGTTGGGATAAGTGCAAGCAAATTCAGACATACTGTCTAGCTCAAGTCCCTGAAGAGCACAATATTTGGGTCGTGGGTATGCAAGGTTCACCACTCATATGAAGACTGAGCTCATATTCTTGGCATCAGAAGTACTTTGCTTTTTAACTAAGCTCTCTCTCTAAGGGTTGAGAGTCCTTCTGGTGATAGAGTAATAGTGGCTTGGTCTTTTCCAGGAACAAATTAAAGCAGAGACAGGATGAGAAGGATGTGGGTGGGCAATAAGTAGCTAATCTAAGACTCACCCCCAGCTCATCTTTATTCCAGGAATGAAAGAATATGAAGAGGAGTACTCTACTACAAAATTGACAAACACTGGTAGGAAAAGTTAATATTTGTGCTTCCGTTTTTTGGTATATTTTCATATTTTGTGCACTCTGTATCATCAGAGCCTTTTCCAGGTTCTTTCTATCTTATCTCAGCTTCCCATTTCATTGTTGGGACAAATTAAAGAAGAACTTAAACACAAATTAAAGAAGCAAAGGTTTATGATGGCTTATAGTGTCCTCTGAGATTTAAGGCAAATTATTAGCTGTTAGTCCCTGTAAAAATTAAACACAGGTGACATACAAGCACATACTGCCTGGCCTCTCAGGCCTTCTTCTGAAATCTTGGTGAAAGCCCTCCTAATCTCACAACTCTTGCATTCTGCGTGGATGTAAAGCAAGTGCCACATGGATGATAAGATCTGCCTCTGGCTAGAGTAGTAGCGAAGCTCCCCCTATCATGGTTGTAAGAATCTCTGCTTGTCTGAGTTACTGAGCACTAGAAATTGAATCTTGAGGAAATAATTCTCTTGTCAAGGGCCATTCTAGTGGATGGTCTTCTCAATCAGTCTTTCACTTTTGAAATTTTGAGCCTGGTAAGGACTTGAGCCTTACTGGTTCCTTAGATTCCCTCAAGGAATTTTTCCTGTGATCCCTGCTGCAAAGTACTGTATTTGGCGTCTTTTAAATGTTAATTTTTTTTTTTAGCAGTGATGCTTCCCTTTACTCCATATTTGCCAGCCCCAATTTATAGGAGTCCTTTCTGGTGAAACTCAAAACGTTTTATATCATGAAGCTATCTATGTTTTTTGCTCTTGATTTTCAATGTAGAGCTGTCTAAAAGTCTGTAACAGTTGCCACACCAGTGCCTCAACATTAGACTACCTCAAAATATTTCCTACCAAATATATTAGTCCACCATCCTCACTCTTAGTCTTTTATATCTTAGAATAGGAGCAAAATGTAGACAATTTTTTTTTTTTAGCGGCACATAACACAGATGGCCTGAAGTCCAATTGCCAATGTAGTCCTTGCTCCCAACTAAAGCTGTGTGTCTGGTATTACCAGCTGCATTTTTATCGGCATTCTGATCTTCTGAGCTTGGACCAGAATATCCCATCAAGCTTGGTTTACAGCATTCTAGGGCTACTTCCTAAGCCAGCATCTCCAAACCTTTTCAAATTCCTCCCTCAAATCAGTTCCAAAAGCTTCTGAACCACATGATAGCACCCTTTGTCTAGTACCAAAATCTGTCTTTGCTACTTTCTTTGTTGCTAGAAGACAATATTCAACACTTACAAATTAATGGAGGAAAGATTTATTATGGCTTAGAGTTTGTAGGGGTTTCAAACCATAGCTAGCTGGCCTCAAGGGCACTATGGCAGAGGAGAAAGAACTCATGGTAAGAACCAGTAAGATTGAAGGAGACAAAGACTGCTATATCCTTTCAGGAAGTGGCCCTACTGACCCCCCTCCTACCAGCAGACTTCACTTTCTAACATCAAATTTAGCTATAAACACATCAGTGAAATAATCCACTGGTTATTATCCAAGTACTCATCATCCAATTGAGGCAGGAGACTGGGATGTGGCAAAGCTAGCTGGGAAAATAGTCTTGACCTGTTAATTACAAAATCAGGGCACATGTGCAGAACAATTCCTAAAGCCCTGCACATGTACTTCTTGAGAGAACTGGAGCAGATTTTCAATAAGATATCTCAAACCTGATATTAGTCTGAGGAATGGGTGATACAAAAAGGACAACTGACTTCAAGCTTTTTGCTATCATGTTCTATCAGAGTAATCCATTGTCATACTGTAGAATGTACTTTTTTCTTACTTGTACTTGGCCCAAACTTGACCTGCAGAGCCTGGTTCTTTTTCTACCTTTAATAAGTATAAAATGCTGCTACCATTTTTGAAGTTTCCAATTACAAAGAATTTTTCAGGATGGAAAGAATTTAGAAACTGCTTCTAGAAGGAGACCTCAAAGCCTAGTAACAAAATCACTTTCCAAAAGCCCCACCTACAAAAGCATGAGACTCTGGGGGAACATCCAGGAATCTCATGGCGTCTTAAGTACCTTACATA